CCCCCCTAGTCCTCCTATTCCACCTATCCACATATGTACATCTCCGTTCCATACATAAGTGCTCCACTTGACATCAAATAGGCATTTTGCTATTATTGGATTTCTTTCTCTCTTTCCCCATATTTGTGCGTTTTCCCATTATTTCTTGGGTTATGGTATCTCAGATATTTATTAATTCGCCTACTTCTTACACTTTTTCTTTTTTCCACTTCAACATTTATCCTCATTCCTCCGTTTCCAGACAGAACGCGTCGCCCGTCCCCACTTACGCCAAACAAACGCGCACATAGTAACATCTTCATCTGCGTTATCTCTTCTGATAGCGACCAGAACACGTGTGTTAATGAAATTTCGCCTGATACAAATTTCTTATCGCAAAACAACCAGATAAAATCTTTTATAAAGTACACAAACTTGACCAGATGTTTTAACAAACAATTTCACGTTTTACAATCAAACACACAAATATATAAACTTTAAAGTAAATACGCAATTAAAAACTATTATTAAAAAACACAAATGTACGAAAAATAAACCAACTTTTATTATTCGTAAATAATCCCCTCTGGTGGAACATATGGTAGCTGATACGCATCACACACAGCGGAAATCAGTAAAAATCTACACGGGGTTTTCCCTCACGCAGTGCGAAAAAACATTCTCAACGTCAAACAAGGCTTTATAAATATAGTCGTTCTCCTAAGAAAGAGCGAAAAGGTCTTAAGGATGCGCTGCCCTACACCCCTACACCTCCGCAGGACATGATCTTTCTTTTGATCCCCTTTAATTGGTTTTTTGTTCTCTTGATATGCATTTCTCTTCCTCTTCTTCTTCCGCCTCATCATCCCTTCTTTATCTCTCTTATATTTTTATTGTAGTACCTTGATATGTGCTGCTCTCAGATCTACTGATTATATTTCTTATCACCTCTAAAAAGTTTCAAAATTTGGTTTTACGCATGCGCAGTACCAACTTTCTTATTTATGGAGGCATTCAAATGAAATTTCATACATATACACTTTAAATAAAAGCAAAACTAACATCAGGTTTAAAATTTGGTTTTGCACATGTTATAGCCATACTCAGGAGCTCGTTTGCTATATTTGTTTAATTTATTTAAAGTGTCTCTCTTGGGGTGGAACTGGTTTTATGCTTCATGGTACTCAACGAAAGGAATTAATTTCTACCAACCATAGTCCTTCTCCTCGACCTTTTATCGTAATTAAATATATTTCCCTTTATACCTCAAGAGCGGATTGTAGAAAGAGGGTACTTACAAAAGCGATTGGACGTATGAATGAAATGTACCCACTGGCGAGTCATAATTTGCAGTGCGAATATCTCGAGAATGGAATGTTGGAGAAGAGTACTCACAAAGGGCCATTGTAAATGTACATTCAATGAACCCCAAGGTCCTAAAACTCGTTTCGATTCGGAAGGGAAGACAAACAAATCGCTGAAGGAGGAATGTAACTTTTTCAGAATTCAATGTAGTGGTTTTCTGTGGTGTTTTGAAACGGGATTTTCCGAGAACCGCAATGATATAATTAATGTATAATTGAACCAAGGTTTGATACGTCGTCGAAGATGGTAAAACGAATTTTGATGCATTGAGGTAATTTTATTTATATTCTTTATACATAAAATTCTTCTGTACGTGTCACTGTAACTAATCGGCTGGGCGGATTTTGATTAAGCCCCGTCGGATTTTAAGATAAAAAAATTTGTTTTTCGTTGATGTCGCACTCTGCTATTTCGCGTACCGTGGCAGAATGTGTTTACATGTTTACATTCTGTACCCTGGGTTTCCGTTATCATATATCCATCAATATCGAGCGTAGGAGGTCGCGAGGGAAAACCTAGTATTTATATAAGATTAGCTATGATTATCCGTAAATGATAAGGATACACTGGAATAGGTGCCTATAATCCGTTCCTAGCAGTATCTTAGCTTCGATGTTCCATTAATTATGTGGGTTATAAAAAACCCTCCAAATTATCTGGGTACTGTCGATTTTATATCAAGGGGTAGTACCTTTTAAATCTATCTCTCAAACCCTCTTCAATTTAGAAGGGAGGGGACTATTTACTTCCGCAGTTCGCACTGTAAACTTTGTGGATACCTTTGTGCCAGCAAATTCTTCGGTATCTTATCATTATTCAGATCATCCTTTCGATTACTTTTCAATGACACTCAAGATCAGTCTTCCGATCATTCCTCATCAAATTCATCAACTGATTCTTCAGATGATTTTTCCCATAGTTGTTCAGATGGGATGACTCTTCAGGTGATCCTTTAGATTGTTCTTTAGATCTTCATGTTCTTTAGTATGATGTTTTGCACCATTTACATTTCCGACATCCTTTGGATTCTGCGGAAATAGGTGATCGTATAGGTTTTATCAGGTCACATACATTTCGGCACAATCTGCAGATCTTATACATGCTGTCAATTCTTCAAATAAAATACTTTTTGAGACCGAAGGAACATTAAATACGCATAAATTTGAGGCGAGTGACGTACAAAGTAACAAACAATTACGGACTTAAACGCATAAAATAACATTGTCAGTTAATCGTTGCAATGTCGCGCGTATTTTCATGAACTTTGATTACTGAGGTAATTACGAACTTCTGTTGGTATCCTTGAGCTGGGGAAAACTGAAACCGCCCCTGCACAGGTTAGGATCTGATTAATCTAGAGAAGTAAGTTTAAGTCAACTGACCGTCGAACAAGAACGACATTACCAACCAATACGGATCCTAACCTGGGGGGTTTTTACTATACGTCATCTATGGAGGTTGACGCAGCAACGAATTAATACGGAAAATTAAAAAATACTGTAAATTCTGTTTTGTTTGTAATTCGGAAAGCTAATGGCAAGTCTAATTAGAAAATAAGTTCATATTTCCTGTGGATTTTAATAGAACTTAACTAAAAGTTGATTGTTTGACCAGAAATTATTTAACTTCAAGCGCTTTCCGTTTAGGTACAAAATGATGTTAGCGGCAAAGAACGTAAGATTTTCAATTTTCAACCCGGTTATGCCAAAATCATTAAAAAAATTAACAATTAACATTGCAAACAGGGAATTCACTTGCACTACTCTGAATCTGGTCAAATTGAAACTAAATTGGTTGCGTCGTGCCTTTAGTACATAATTCCAACAAATGTGTATTTAATAAATAAACACCTTCGTATCCAAATAGATTAATTTAGTGTATAGATAAATAAATTTAAATAAACACTATCCCACCAATTAATCATTATTTCAAATGAGCGTTACACTACTACAATCCATTATTTTGTTTCACTAGGTCCTAACGAGAATTTGTAACAAAAATATTTATGCTACACTTCCGCCACTTTTCATCATCTTTCTAGTTGGGAGGTCTATAAATACTACACGAGAAGAGTTTGGGTACAGGTATGTTCTGTGTTTCAAAGCTGGTATGCGTTCGCAAAAAATATCAAATGGCATAAATATGACCGGCACGTAAACACCACCATCCATCAATTTCCAAAAATAACTAACTTCGGAGCGCTAAATTTAATTGCATCGTAATCCGAAATAACTTCTTTTACCACACTCGCCGGCCGGCCGCCGCTGCTCGTTGATTGAAATACGGCCCCACCTTTATTTGCGACGACACGACATGATCAAATTTGCACAATATTATTTTTTTTTGTGTGATTTCAAATGTGTCTCCTCTTTGATATGTTGCTTATTAGGCAAAAAAAGACAATTCCGAAATATAATTGTATATTTTCGCATGCAGCTTGTTAACATCAAAGGAAGTTGTGAAATTAACTTGTCACGTATCCAAGAAATGAAATTTTCACTCTTTATATCATTATTACATTTTATTTTGTGTAGCTTCTGTGTGCTGCTTTCGTTAATAATTACATAAATTGTTATTTACATAAAAAACGAGCGGATCGCAGTGTCAGCAATGTGTTTCCCCCGGGCTATATCCTCTTAACTTGCATAGTTTGATTATAATTGGATTTTAATGAAGTAAATCTTAACTACCCAAAGGCTCAGCACTTCAAAACTAAGTAATAAATTGCAAGTTTGTGTATGACCTTTTACTATATATGCCCCCCCCCCCCTCGGTCCATATCAGCAATGGACAGAGACAGCACCCCATTTACCTACGCACCGTTTTCAATATTTGTCGGTTTGATAAGTCTCATTTTGACCCCGCTTTGAGGTTGGTATGGAAGAGGAAAGGGCATGTACAGGGTGTAACAATGAAAAAATTTTGCATTTTTCAAGAGACGGTGACTCTGTGTCTCTGAGGGAGTGAATGAAGAAGGTAGTTGTGCTATGATAAGTAGATGGATGATGAACAAACTATGATACCGATTAGGACTGTTTTTACAGTATTTAACGTGTAGCGTTCTAAATTTGCAGAAATTGTGGATTATGTTTATGAACAATTTATTCTTTTTAAATGAGGCGGGAACGGTTAAATAGTGTAACCGATAGAGGACACTATGTCTGATGTAAGAGCGCATGCATGTATACACAACTTATGATAAGAGGGATTTTTGAGCGGGACCAAGAAAAAGGCGAATGGCGGTCGTAGAAAAGAAACGTTCCCACGGACATAATAATTAACGTTGTGATTCGAGACTTATTTAAGTCAGTGGGGCTAGGTAGCGAAAATAACGCGTGAGTTACTGAATGTAAAATTAATTTATTGACAGTAAATAATTTTAGGATTTTGGTTACCTACCTATACTACGTGCAATTATTCCGGTACAAACCTAATTAGGCAATAACTTAATCTTCATTTCAATGGTTGTCTAAAATTCTTTCAAGAGCCGTTTGTCACCTTAAGTAAGTTATTAATTCGGAATATTCGTCATATTAGCGTACGCGTTACCTTTTAGGGCTCTTACCCCTAAGTAATGGAAATTGGAAAAAATATATAGTAGCCGCCCCTGACGTCACGTGGGACGCAAATTTATTACCTGCACAAGTAACTGCGGAATACCAAGCGCTGTTCCTGATGATAAGATTTTAATGCTATGGTGATAAGCCGCCATCCCACCGTCCACCTGTATGTACGTGCTTTGATACCTTCACACAATGCTCTGAGGTTTGAGATAACAAAATTTGAAAGGAGATGTCAAGTTTATTTGTTTAAATTAAGCATATTTGTCTATTATTAATTGTCCATCCTAGAATTAATTGATAATGTTGTGCTGTCCTTAAATTGTCAATTGTTATTTAGAGTTATCAGTCCAATATTGAAGTCCGTTGAATGATCATTCATCTGAAACACAAAAATTACGTTATCGATATCATCGTCAAGTTATACTTACCTACCGAGTCAATTACCTGTTTAAATAAATTAATAATAGGATCGATTTTTGCATTACGTTATGAGCTTGTCCGATTACCTGTCATTGGGCAAGTTGGTTTAAGACAGGTTGGCGCCCCCTTCAAACAACACTCAGTACAAGATCCACGACTCAGCTCCCAAATCTTTGAGCACTGTTAACACCCATTATAGACAACAAAAAAGGGAAAGTCATAGTAGGGTTTATGTAGTCACACTAAAGAGACCAATACATGTCTACCAATCGGGCGAGTCCAAGCATCCAGCGAGGTAAGATTAGACACTTGGACGAAGCAATTAGGATGTCATTATGGTTCATTTCCGCATGCCAGGTATGGCCAGTGGTGTATTAACCTATAATAAAAATGGGCGTACTTGTATTGGATAAAATCGGCATCGCTAAAAAGTAGGTTACGAAAGAAGCGCGTGTATTCTTGGTTTTACACTTTAGACATTAAATAAAAACATAATCTTTTATTCAATGCTTTGGTATAATTTATTACACTTACAATTTTGATAAGGGAAATTTATAATTCGATACGCCACTGTCCTTTAATCACTTCCGTAAAATATTATTCCATGCAAAGTCAGTTGTTTCCAGCATAGAACCCAAAATCAAAGCAAGTGATAGCAGCATCACATACAATACTATCTCGCCTGTCAACAAAACTAGCACGGCACAAATCCTCATAAATGCTTGCTAAAGAAGGCATTTAGTTTCCAGACAATGTAGTCAACTGAATGAAAGTTTTATAATTTGCAATCAGATTTTTGTACATGTTCTTGGGAAAGTCAGTGGCGTAGGTAATTTTTATATTACCTACATTTTGTCAATCGAAATGGTATTCTATTATGTCCGTATTAAATGAGATATTTTTCGCTATTAATAATGAAGGGCCTTTTAAACTATTAAAGTTATCAGCTACCTTCCTTGGAAGACCCGGAGATCCCAATCTTGTGCACGGCAAATAAGCCACCCTATATATTTACTTAGTTTCAATTAAACTGTAGCGTATTTAAGTAGAAATATTGGTATATCTAATGGTGTCTACACAATATAGAAGAAGGCAATCGGATTACAGAACAGATACGCTTAAAGCTATTTTAAAGGTAAATAATAAAAAGAACATTAAGATCAATAACAACAAAAGCAGTTTAATAGCAAAAAGGACGTATCCTACGGTGAAGCGTGACAAAAAGCACCAAAGACTTCTAATATTAATTTGGCATCCATAGAAAGTCCCTTACTAGTGAAGGGATTGGTTTAAACGGATCTGAATTGTAAGATTCTGATCATTGCAAGAATTTGGAAGCTATACACCGCTTTGGGCAGAACTCCTTTAGTGTTCCTCACTCTTGGCAAAAGGGCACAAAGATAAGTTGCAAAAATTGGAAGTAAAAGAATTTATGACTCAAGACTTAAGAAGTTGATTATTTTCGTAACGATTTTCACTAACCCTACTAAAACATTCAATAATCCTCAAAAGATCCCCTCCTTAAACACTTAAAACTTACCTTGTTTATTAGATTACCTCGCCGAAATGTAGTGAAAGGTGAAATGAGTCAATATTTTAAACAAGTACTAAACCTATGTCGAAACTAATTTGTAAAAGTAAACCTTCGCCTATCTAAAATTCAGCGCACGGTAAACTCCCGAAAAAAGGAAAGGTTGTAATTTCAAACGGCGCGTTTAATTTATATAATTGTCTGGTGATTGGTTTCCCTTGTAAACCGATAGTTTAATTAACAGCCTGAGACGTGTTTTTGTCTCCCTAGATGCGTTTATGTCCAGAAGTTCGTAAATCTATAGTATTAGTCACTACCTATGGATTACGGAAGGCAATTTGAATATTTGCACCTAAATTTGTGTATAAATTAGCATTTAATGAATATTCAGAACCATTTATGATGATGAAATTTTACACGAAATTGGAATTTATCTGCTGGCATGAATGTTTAATAGTCATATAGGTCTCCGTTCGCAATCAATATCAACTCATTAGTTTGGGTTATCGAAAAAGTTTTTTAATTACTTCTTGGTGCAGTTCGATTAAAAATTGTTGAAATCCTTCGTGGTATCGTTTTGATAAAGATGGTATTTCTTCGCCTAAAATTTTTGGAGATATACACATCGCAATCCATAAAATCGGTGTACATGTATGGTGGTGAATATGATTGTATTATATTATGTATTATATCAACTACAATTCGAGTCTTAAATGCCTCTAATTTAAATTTTATATATAGCTGTTTTGATTAATATATTGCAATTTATTCATTCCAAAAGTAAATTTTTTTTAAATGTAAAGAATGAATAAAATTTACTGCAACCGGTTGGCCCACCAGTAATTGCTCAATCGTGAAAAATACCTGTGAGAGATTGGATGTTTCAATAGGCCATAAAATGAAATTTTCTAAACTAAAAGATGAAGCAGACGATACCACCACCTAAATTTGGAACAATTTTAGACCAGAGTAGTTTTTATAGGACCGATACGACGGTTTAGGGGATACAGCATTTTAAAGTTTAGTCAATATTAAAAGTTACACAATTTTGAGTAAAGTTTCTTCACGTCCAGTACCATCACAATTTCTGAAGTCTTAACCCTCACGCTCCCACAGGCTATCTTAAGGTTTCAGAGGACTCAGAAGTGACCAAATGTAAACATTGAAAACTGGTCCAGATTCTGGTTGCTGCTAAATATGATTTTGTGACACACGCTTCTCTTGCACGACTGTTTTCACTGTAATATCAAAAAAAAAACAATGAGATCGACTTAAAAATAATAATTTTGTTCCTTTTTGTAAAAGAACATTTAATTGATGATGGATTTTACCACAGCACCTCAACAGTTTTAAGCTATTCCTCTTGTATGAAGTTCTTATAGGACGTACAATTTGGGTGGGGTGGTTCCGACGTTCCTTTTCTGTGTTTCGGGACACTTATATAAGGTAACAGCACCATTTCGATAGTCTTCCTTTCCGATTTGCCTACGTGTCATTTTGGTAAACTTTGTATTGGAACGTACCGGTTAATTTCAAGATAAGTGACCGATATTTTCATTCCGTTAAGTATAACTGGGGTTTGTTTTCCTTGTTTCGATTTTTCGTAGCTAGTAAATACCCTCAGTTAATTTGTGGTTCCATTCCCGCTTGAGAAATCGCTACCGTGGCCGTGTGCCGTAATTTTGTTTTAGATTTTCGCCATCGACGGCCGCCATTTGCCCGCCAAATTCCTAGTGTTCCTTTTCTCCGTCTGAGTATCGGTGGGTTCCGAATTTCCGTTCCGAAACTGCCGTCCTTGACCAGGAGCAAGGGTTAAAACCTCCTGGTTGGCCCCGACTGCCGTCGCTTTCAGAAGCTGGTTCGAAAGTCAAACAAGATATAATTTATATTCTTTTCCTTTTAATTAATTTAATTAATACCATTAATACCATTAATCGTACCGTGTAATATCAAGCCCTTTAGATCGTCGCTACGTAAAGTTAAAAATCAATTTATTAGATACCGAAGATGTTTTAAACACTATTAATTTGTGAATCTTGCTCGTCTACTCGATAAGTTAAGCAAAATTGATCGAAAATACAGTGGAAAAGTGTCTGTGCATTAATACCGGCAATCTCGAGTATTACTTTCTCGAATTTTGAATCTGGTTTGTTTGGATTCGCCATTCACACGAATTATCCTTCTGCCAGAATTGGCATTCATCAAAAAAATAACGTACAGGGGCAGCGTAAAAGGTTTAGCTTTATCGTACATCTATTTCCATATTTCTATGAAAAACTAAGATCAATTCGTATCAGAACTGTAAGTTCTTTCAGTCTTTGTTGAATTGTATAAAATAGTGATCGGTTATTTTGCGTGAAGTAATTTTAACGTTTCCTGAAGGAATCGGCCTATGAGAATTATTTGCATGAATAGATTTGTGTACCATAAGGATCAGATCCAAAAGAAATATTCTTTTGGTTGGATTAAAATTTTGTTTAGAATTCAAGGTGTGGGGGTGTGTATATTTTGAACAGAGGAGTGTACCAGGAATTTATTATATGGTAAAAGTAAGAATTTACATAAGGATCAAATTTGCCAAGGAGGTTATAATGATCACGAAAGAGTCCTTGCATTTTTTGTATTCCCTTTTTATGAATTAAACCATTCTATATTCAAGAATTTGTAAAGAAAATTGGGATTTGATCGCTTTTGCTTAACCCGGGGGGCGGTTTCCAAGCAAATGCTAGATTTTCAGATTAAAATTTGAGCGTTGAACGACTCTATCGTGTTCAGTGTACCAAAAAAAAAATACAATAAACCAATAACCACAATTACACCAGAACTTTCCACTTCTCGTGCACCATTTGACTAAACTACGTGTGTTTGTCGCTGATAACAAAGGTGCCCGTTTTCTTTTGCACGTAATTTTGTTATGGAAGATGGGACACCTCAAGCGTTCCTTATTGGTGTTACATTGGAATTCGCGGAAGTAGGAGTGTGATGGTTTAGTGGAAGTGGTGTTTTTATAAGTACGAACGAAAAAACGTTGGCTAAGGGTGTGTACGTTTCTGTACGCTGATTTTGTCAAGTAATTATCCAAATGACCGGATTAAAAGGATTTTTAAAAGAAAACGGTATGTCATTTTAAAGCTTACTTTGTTTATTTGTGTTCA